CTGTTGTCTGAGGAAGAACTTCTATAAAATATTTGAAGCGTTGGCAAACACTACGTGTTAGGGGACAAGGAAACCTGTCATCAAACCTGAACATTTCATTTGTGTATTTGGAGAGATTCCCTAGGAAATCTTCAAATGCAGTACTTAGAACTGAGAGATTTCATAAGCTCTCTTCACCATTAATAAATCGTTAAGGACATTTAGAGACTAGGGGGAGAGATAGCAAAGCCTCCTTCAAACCCCAGAGCAGACCCCTAATATTCCCCCTAACATTCTGACTCTCTTGACAAGGTTGATAAAATGTGCGTGGTTTTTATGTGTGCTTCCGTGTAGCCAACAATTCCTGCTCTATCCTACCATCTGTATGATACACCTCAGTGTCCTCATCTGTGAAATGGGAATGGCAACAGATTCTCCCTTAGGAAAATGGGGAGGTGGCAATAACTTAGTGTATAGAGAAGGTACTTAGGGCAGTACTTGGGGCTTAGTAAGCTCTATGTATGGTCTCTAGGAAGAGGGAGCATGTGACTAGGAATCATAGGCCTTTGAGTTGATGGTGGGGAGACAGATGGTAGAAGACAGAAAGTTCTATACTCAATTAAAACAATGTAAACCAATAGGAACATCTGTCTAGAGAGTTCAAGATTGAGAGAAGAAGTGCAAAAGCTGTATATGCTCCTGTGTTGCCTTCCTGACAAGGTAATCGCACAAAATAGGAGCCTCTAGCTGGACAGCCAGGCCCAGTGTCCTCTGCTCCTCCCATAGAGTGTGAGCACATGCTATCCATCATCTCAGGGCATCTGAAAATTAGACAGGAAAAGGTATGCACCATTAAGGAAGATAGACACAAATTAGAAGGACCCATACTCATCTATATTAGAGCAGTCCATAGCTCAACCTGTGACAGAATGTCATTTCTGAGAGTTTAGTTTAACTTGAAAAAATAGAAATTTGTGTTAATGTCTGAAAAAAAGAAATATTTATGAACAACCAAAAAGAATTCCACCAAGAGAAGGTACAGAATGGGCCATGCACATCATTTGGGTTTGCAGGATATGATATATTTCTTGGATAATTCTAAATGAGACTCCATCTATGTTTCCAGACTGAAGGCTATGCCAAACTTCTCTCTTCATTTATGAAGTCTCTTTGAAGAAGTTGTAGCTTATACAATGCTTTACATTGTGTGAGGTCTTCCATGGCTTCTTTCTAATTCAAACTTCCCTTATTTAACTCCAAACATGGTCAGGTATTTGCTTTGCTAAGTTCTTATCACATCAAGAAACAAGAAAGCAAGCACGACATATACTCAAGGTGGTGTCTACCTTGCTAGAGTTCCTTTATTGGCCTATTCACAATCTGTTGATAATAACCAGAGGTCAAGAATGACAGAGTGAAATGAGCATGGACATTGAAATCAGAGTATCGGTTGCACTTTTAGATGTGTTGTTGTCAACTGAAGACACTGGCCTCCTCTAAGCAATATTCTCAGGCATTTTTTTGTGGGGGAAAGGGGGGTCCGGTCGTGGGACTTGAACTCTGGGCCTGGGCGCTGTCCCTCAGCTCTTCAGCTTAAGGCTAGCACTCTACTACTTAAGCCAGAGCGCCACTTCCAGCTTTTTTCTTTTTGCTTATGTGGTGCTGAGGAATCAAACCCAGGGCCTCATGCATGCAAGGCAAGCAGTCTACCACTGAGCCACCTTCCCAGCCCTAAGCAATATTCTCTATCTCCCAAAAACTTCATTGTCTGCTGTGGTAACTGCCAATCTAGCTATGTGTGGCTATTGAAATTCAAGTTAATATTAAAAATTCTGCATTTCTGCTATACACCCTACAATCTCAAGTGCTTATGACTCCATTTCTCTATGGTAACACTACTGGGCTGTGCCTTCCTGGCACATTTCCACCACCACTGAAATCTTTTGGACAGTGTTCATCTATGTAAATTGTGCCAGAGTTATTATGAACTATAGCTATTATAAAATGTCTCATATGACAACCATGCATTTAATGGTGGCAATGCAATCAGCATTCACCTTGTTCCAAGTACATAGACCTTTTCCACTTTAGTTCTCTAAGAGCCTGATGAGACTGATATTAGTTTTCCCAACTTCAGACAGGAAGAGTGAAACGCTATGAAGTTAATCAACAATAGTTACTGAGTTTATCGAGCTGGTGGCTAGTAAAAAGCTTGTATTGAGGAGTTCGGGCTGCGTTCCCCAATAATTGTGGAGTATTGCTTCCTTTATAGGTCCTGTTTATCTGATAACAAAAGACACAAGACCCCCAGTGGAGTTCAAAACCCTTATTTTATTTCACTCTTGTCTAATGCACCTGACCAGTCATAAATACAAGAAAGATTCCTTGAATATTTAATATAGAAAGATAGTGGAGTTAAACCTTTTTATTACCTAGTCCCAAGGAGCTGGTAATAAAAAATTACTATATTCTATTTGGTGATGCAAACCCCATAGTATAAAAACAAAAATATTTCAAGTATCTTTGTAGAAAAGAAGTCAGGGAAAAAATGTGTAAAAATAACCATAGGTTATTTGTGATTAGAACAAAATCAGTGATCCATTGTCTGGATCTCTTACCCAAACACTCCTTTTCTTCAACTAGAGGAGTATTCAGTCTTTCTGTATAAGAAGAATGGAATTAAAATTCACACACACACACACACACACACAGAGAGCGCTCTGTGTGTGTCTGTGTGTCTGTGTGTGTGCATGTGCTAGCCCAGGGGCTTGAGCTTTTTTGCTCAAGGCTAGTGTTCTACCACTAGCTACAGCCCTACTTCTGGCTGTTTGGTGCTTAATTGGAGATGAATTTCCCAGACTTTTCTGCCCCAGCAGGCTTGAATCTGCATTCCCCAGATTTCAGCCTCATGAGTAACTAGAATTACAGGTATGAGCCACCAGCTTTGGGTGAAAAATATATTTTTAGTCTAAATCAATTTGAACATAACTTGAGTCTTTGAAAGACAAGTTGTGATACGGACTAATGTGGAAAAACTTCATGTTGGGAAAATACAGCAAAACTAATAGCTTAAATATTTACAACTATTCTTTATGAGATGGCTGGTGTCTCTGTAACCCTCCCAGAGCGGGAGACCCCTGTGCCAGAAAGAGCATCTAAATAGAACTTCTGCCCAAAGTGATTCATCTTGCCTCTCTCAAACAAAAATGCCCTCTGGCCATCACTTGTTCAGTATTTCCATAAAAAGTAGTTCCTGGCCCATTCCAGCCCTTGTCTCTCTGTGACATAAGGAAACATTGCAGGTCCTTGAACTCCACGGGGTGACTGTGATGAATGTTAGCCAAGTCACATGAAAGCTGAGATTCTGGGCTCCCTGGGAAAAATTCCATTATGACTTGTTTCTTTACCTGAAAATTCCATTAGCATTTCTTAACCGCAAGACTAACAGATCTGCAGAGGAGACACAGCCTAACTTCCTGTTAAGATCTGGCAGTACCCAGATCTGAAGGAAAATAGAGGGTGTTACATTTCTACTGCTTTGATTTGTTCAAGGAGCCACAGTCCAAGTTCCATGTGAAACTTAAACCCCTTTAAATTTAAAGACATTCAATCTCTAAGAGAAAGGGCCAAGGAGGTAGCAAGAAAGCTAAATAGGTTCTGTTCTAGTTTCTTTCAATGGATTGCAACATATTTCTCGTGTTGACTCTGATTTTTCACTGGTGGTTTGAATTCCTTTGGTCTGGAAACCTTTCAGCTTCAGTTGATCACCTGATTGTGGGCTTTGTTAGGAAGTTAGTCTTCAGCTCAGTTGGGGCTTCCTAGTGAGGCCTCCCTGGAGAATTTCTGATCTAGACATTGCTCCACCTAACAACTGATTTGGTTTTGCCAGATGCACATCTTATGGATATCTCTCCCCTTTTTTCTTTGGTTGCTAGCATTCCTAGAGTGTACAGAACCTTGTGGCAGGTAGTTCTGGGAAAAACCTTTTACTCTCTCCTTACTTTTTCTCCCTTATTTTTCTTCCTCTTGCTCTAATTTTTTAATCCTGTTTTGGAAATGATGTCTTTACCAGGGACTTCAGGCAGACTTAGATTCAGAAATGGTCTTTCTAGGAGAAAGAATAAAAGTGGTGGGACTGAGTTTTGATTCCAGAGGTCCTAACATTCTTTTGTCTTATTCATTGCTATATCTGCAGTGCCCAGAACATGTCTGCTGTGAGGTATAATATAAAATGAAGGCACGGGACATCTGGGTTCATTTCCTGAGGGTTCTTTGTCTCTTTTTTTACATAGAGAAAGTTTTTGGAAACCCTAAATATATTGGTGACCTCTTACTAACAATCAGGAGTCCACTGACAGATAAAGTCTAACTGTTCCAATTGTCTGGGTTTGGCACACCCCTTGATTTTGGTTCTGTAGTTTGCACTGAGTTTCTTGTGTCCACATCCACATCCACATCAGTGGCCCACAAACTTCAGAATTACCAGAGTGGCTGCTAGAATGCATCACTGGGCCTGATTTACTTCATTTTGTTTGTTTGAGTCATGCATTCACTATGTAGCCCAATGTGGCCTGGAAGTCTTCGTGAGCCATGCTAACCTCACACTTGTGATCTTCCCTCTTTGCTTCCTGCATGCTGGGATTACAGACACGTACCACCACACCTGGCACTGGGACTGACTTTTGACATTAACTTAAATACAGACAGTAGTTTGTCTTGTACGTAGAGAAACCAGTAGACTGAGACTAAGACTTCTTCCAAAACCTCAGAGAAACTTTCTTCAGTTGGATCTTCATCATTGTTGTTTATTTTCATATCTGTTCTACAGGATGATGCTCTGTTACATTAATCCATTTTTCAATGCAGAAGAAAAATGAAAAGAGTTTTCCAAATGAACATGTTCTCTGATATACAAAACATAGTTTATTAGAATCAAAGGCTCATTTTCCTTTCCTTTCCTCACAGATATTTGCATTTTTATTGTTTGAAATATTGAAAGCCAACACATTTCTTTTTAACAGGAATCCTTCGTGTTTGAACCTAACTGCCTCTTCAAGGTGGATGAATTTGGTTTCTTTTTGACCTGGAAAAGTGAAGGCAAGGTATGACATAAGAACCAGAAGTTGCTCTCCTTGCTTGGTGGTTTAGGCCATGTTCTTTCTTTCTCTCTCTCTCTCTCTTCCTTCCTTCCTTCCTTCCTTTCTTCCTTCCTTTTTTCTCTCTTTCTCTCTCTTTCTCTTTCTCTCTCTCTTTCTCTCTCTCTCTCTTTCTTTCTCTCTTTCTCTCTTTCTTTCTCTCTCTCTTTCTCTCTCTCTCTCTCCTTCCTTTCTTTCTTTCTTTCTTTCTTTCTCTCTCTCTCTTTCTTTCTTTCTTTCTTTCTTTCTTTCTTTCTTTCTTTCTTTCTTTCTTTCTTTCTTTCTTTCTTTCTTTCTTTCTTTCTTTCTTTCTTTCTTTCTTTCTTTCTTTCTGAAAATGCTGTACAGAGGGTTACAATTACATGGGCAAAGTAATGAGTACATTTCTTATCATGAATGAGTACATTGTTGCCTCCTTCTTTGTTTCCCTTTCCCATCCCTTCCCCTCCCCCTCCCCCTTCCTTCCCCCCTCCCCCTAAGTCTCCCCCTCGGGCCAAAGTTGTAAAGTTCCTTTTCAACATAACGTCTTATACATCTCATTGTTGCAATGGGTCCACCTGTATCCTTATTTAAACATTTTGGTTTTTCCCTTCCCCTCCACAAATTATACCAACATCAAATACAGTGAAAACAGGGGTTATACCATGGGGGAGGGACAGACAAAGCAACAAAAAAAATCAACTTATAAATATGTTAGAAATAATCACAAGAAAGAAAAAAAATTGAGTCTTTATCTTGGAGTTCATTTCACCTAACATCAACTTATCTAACCGTTTCTGCTTGTCTCAGGTATATACTAGTTATTTCAAATAAGAGAAAGCATGGGACCTATGTTTCTTTGGGTTTGACTTACTTCACTTCATATAATGTTTTCATTTCTTGACAAGTGAACCAGGGTCCTCCTGAGGGCATGGAAGTTCCACTTATTTATTCAAGGGTTTTGAAACATGGGATCAGGATACAGTAAGGGTCAAGGAGAGTGTCCTAATTCCTATAGGTCCTACTGCAGATGCAAAGCAAGGCATATTTTTTAAAAGTTATAATTCATTGAGCATTATGAAGGAAACATACAGCCTGTAGTAAGCTGGTCTGATTTAATCTTGTGAGTTAGAAATATTTCCCAGAAAAATTTACTTGCAACTAAATTCTAAAAGATGCCTGGAAAGGGTGACCATCCTCACATTTTGGGACTTAATCTGATACATGACACAGAATACACTTATAAAAATATTAATTGGATTTAAGAAAAGTATAATTACAGCTATATAAAATTTGCATCATTCTCACTTAATATTGTGTGAGTACATACATATTTCATGACATTCAAACATGCTTAGAGATATTGTATGATAAGACTATAAATATTTTTACAAATAATTATTGAATGTTAACCTCATAGATTTGAAATAAAAAAATTGTAATCTGGGTTATTCCTGATCACTGGAAAAAATTATTATTGTTATTTGAATGTTTACTCCCTCTTCTACTTCAATTAACATCATCATAAGTTTGCTAATTACTAATTACATACATGTAATCTCCGCATTTGAGAGGCTGGGGCAGAAAGCTTCTGTTTGTAAACAGTTTGGTAACCATCCTGAGTTACTTAGTGGGACTTAAAACAAAAAAAAGAGCAACATAGGTGCTTGTTACATTCTTCGAGCAATGAGTGTCAGAATTTAAGCTCATGGATTGGTTATCCTCTTTGTCTTCAGGAAGGACAAATGTTGGAATGTTCCCTCATCAACAGCATTCGGCTGGGAGCTGTACCAAAGGTACCTGCAATTGGTGTTTGTTCGTCATCTAAGTAGATGTACACAGGCTGGAAATACTCTCTAGGAGGCTACTTAACTCTTCCTCACAGTCATCAGCTGGGGATTAAGAATTGATACAGTTTAGAAATCTTCTTATCTTTGTGAGAAAACAGACACTTTTTTACCTTTTGATTTTCTTAAATTTTGAGTGATAGATTACATTATTTTTGGTTGTATTAGAAATGTTTTTAACCCTTGGAAAGGATAGCCTTTGCATCAGCTTCAAAAACAAACAAACAAAAAAGTTCCCTTAACCTAGAAGTTGATTTTACAAGCTTCTTTACCCCACATTTTTGGCAATGCTCATTTCATCTGTGGTTTAGAAGGAAATTTAAGTAGCTGAGGTGGCCACATATCTCTGTGTACTTGTGTGCCTAGAAAGTTCAGTTTGCCGCTGAAAGAATAAAGAAAACCAAGCAGAGACAATCATTGTTCTTCACGGTGATTGATTGGTTTGAATAAGAAGCTATTTTCATAGTGGTGTTAGGAATTTAAAGGACGTTTCTTTATAGAACATTCAAGTACAGTATTTATTTCATTTTGTGTAATAGCCCTGCAGGTTTTTAGCTGTTCAAAACAAAATTACACTCCTTAGTTTGTTTTTATTTTTTTTCAAAGCTGCTTCTTTTATGTTAGTTAAATTTTCTATGTAACTATATGTTGGCATGTTTTCTGAGGCCTTTTGGAGAACAAAGACAATGTTTTATTTATGAATTTTGGCAGTCTTTCACTGCTTTCATTCCAACTGAGGATGCCATGACTTGGAGAAACACTCTCTCTTTTGATCCAGGCTGCTTGGAAGACTTCATCTCATTTTGAGACTATACTGTGGTAACTGGTGATGGTAACGCCATGTTTATTCACAGAACTCTCTGTGATTAGCCTGCCTGTGGGGAAAGACTCTGGATCTTTGTGGACATGGAATTTTCTAATCATATGCTTTCCTATCCCACTGGCAAACTCTAGGGCCTTCAATAATGACACCTGAAAAAGTCTATATTTGACCTGGTATATTTGACCAAGAAAACCATACTATATGTCTTAAGAGATTTTTTAAATAACTGGGCATTTTTCATAAGGAAAATAAAAATAAACCATTGTACCATGCATATTTTTACATCAATGTGTTTTCCATTTACCATGGTTTCCTTCATGCTCTGTGATCTCTTCTCTTTCTTTTTTCCTATTTTTTGTGACTCTATACAGGATCCCAAAATCCTGGCTGCGCTTGAAGCTGTTGGAAAATCCGAAAATGATCTGGAAGGGCGGATAGTGTGTGTCTGCAGTGGTACAGATCTGGTGAACATTAGTTTCACCTACATGGTGGCTGAAAATCCAGAAGTAACTAAGGTAGCATCTAGCATCAAAGCAGCCTTCTTATCCCCCCTCCTTATATATGTATGTGTTTGTATAATTTTATGCTTAAAATAATTTTTAAAAAATTTTTAAATTATAATCACTTAACTTAAAAAAATTCAAATGTTCAGCCATTACATTTGTATAGAAAATTTAGGACATAATCCTTTTACCATGTCACTGCTCTAGGTCAAAAACACAAATAGCTACTAAGATGAGTTGTAGAGAATGCCAGCCTGGGACCTCTCAAACTTCTGTGCACAGGATTCCCCTGGATTTTGTTATAAATATAGATTCATGAGATCTGGGGTGGGGACATGAGTCTCCTTTTCTGACAAGTCTCAAGTGGTAAGATGCTGCTGGTCTAAGAACCACAGTTGGATACAAGTGGTTCAGTCAACACTGCCAGTACAAATATGATGTGATTCATAAGTATAATTTAAAGTTTTCTTAGAGCCACATTTAAAAAGGAAAAAAAACTATGATTCGGTTTGTAACATTTTTAATCACAGAGTACATTTGTAGTGTGTCCAAGGTTTCAGGTTCAATCTGAAGGAAAGAAAGGAAGGGAAGGGAAGGAGAAGGGAAAAGAGAAAAAAATAAAGGAAGAAAGAAGTAAAGGTAAAATACTGTGGTGTGTGGCTCAGTAATAGAGTGTGTACCTACCATGTTCAAGGCCCTTGGTGTTGGATTCTTAGCACTAAAGAGTGACACAGATGATATTTCGTAAAACATTTTATTTAACATGATATATCTGGAATATTATCCTTTTAACAAGCTGTCAATATAAGACTTTTTAGTGCATAGTTTACATTTTGTGTTTATACTAAGTCTTTGAACATCTGGTATACACTTTCAAATTAGATAAGCCATGAGAAGTGCCTGGTATCTGTGTATGACTGAGGGCTACCATACTGGGTAGTACATCTCTAGATGGCTACAAATCCAAACTCCCAAAATAACTTGCTAAGTATTGGGTGAAGATCTATTACCCACATACCATTGATTTAGCAAGCTAGTCTCAAGGGGATTTTGGCCAAAGAAGTTTAAAAGGTTCAGACTTTAATTTTTCTTTGTAGATTATTTGTTTTCAGGGTAACTTTACCTTTGAATGCAGCATCCATTATCTTTCAATCATATGTGTAAAGTGGAATGAGCCTGTACCCTCCATTATAGAGAGGTGAATTTGGGGGTGGGGGGCCTGAGAACATGTTTTACTTTCTCATTCATCTTACAAGTAGAAGCTCAGTGCTGGATGAATGAGAACAATGTCCTTAGAAATAACAAATTTTGGGACTAGGAGGAAATACCATGGTAACACCATTTAGAAAACATTAATAAACATAGATTCAAATATCACTTGCACCAGAATTGAGTTTTGCTAACTACTAGACTATCAGAGATCTTGCTACCATCATTTCCAGTATTTATTCCTCCTTCCAGTAGCATTGACTTAATCTGGGGTTTATAAGGACAAGGATGTGAGTTCAAGTCCCAGCACTGAAGCAATTTAAAAAAATAAAAAGCTTTCTGGTTTAGTATATCTGCTTGATCAGAAAATCATATTCATTATTACTTTTCATCATTTCATTGTTGTCAGTCTTAGTCATTCTTGTGTTTAAGAACCATGATTGAAGCCAGGCACCAGTAGCTCATGCCTGTAATCCTAGCTACTCAGGAGGCTGATATCCTGCCAGCCTGGCAGGAAAAGTCCATGAGACTCTTACCTCCAGTTAACCACCAGAAAACTGGAAATGGTGCTGTGGCTCAAGTAGTAGATCGTTAGCCTTGAGCTGGAGAGCTCAGGGACAGAAGCCCAGGCCCAGAGTTCAAGCCCCACAACCAACGCCCCCTCCTCCCTCACACAAAAAAAGAACCATGATTGGAGCAAATAGGTAATATGTATGTATATATGAGAGGAGAAAGGGGTTGTATACCTAAGAAGATTCAAGGATTTTTTTTCTCCAAAACCTAGAAGCATTTTTATTAAAATATAAGTGCAGCTAGCCAGACAAATAAAAATTTTGTCAGTACTAAATTTTCAATTCTAACTCTATACTTTTTTTTTTTTTGTCAATCATGGGCTTGAACTCTGGAACTCTGGGCCTGGGCGCTGTCCCTCAGCTCTTCAGCTCAAGGCTAGCGCTCTACCACTTGAGCCATAGAACCACTTCCCGTTTTCTGAGTGGTTTATTGGAGAGAAGAGTCTCATGGACTTTCATGCCCAGGCTGGCTTTGAACCTCAATCCTCAGATCTCAGCATGAGCCACCAGCTCCAACTCCATACTTTTTAAAGCCTGGTCTTCTTACAGAAAATAGGTATGAGCCGGATGCCAGTGGCTCACGAGCCTGTAATCCTAGCTACTCAGGAGGCTGAGATCTGAAGATCATGGTTCAAAGCCAGCCCATGCAGGAAAAGTCCATGAGACTCTTATCTTCAATAAAAACCACTAGAAAACCAGATGTGGCACTGTGGTTCAAGCAGTAGAGCGCTCGCCTTGAGCTGAAGAGCTGAAGTCTAGCACCCAAGCCCAGAGTTTAAGCCCCACAACCAAAAGAGAAAAAGAAAAGAAGTATGTTAGTTACCCATAACCATTACCTAAAAATTTACATTGCATTAATGATATAATATATAAATACAAATTCAGTTGTCTACACAATTTATCATTATTAGACTATGTCAATTTGATTAATGGACACTTGGAGATGACATTTAGCACCATATTTTTCTATACTAATGAAATTGTATAAACTTCCATAATTTTTAAATTAAACATAACTTGTATATGAATGATCTTGCCTATTTCCTGATTTCAAAGTTTAAAATAACTGATCCACATCATGATATTTACTAACTCCTGCCCTGACTAAATTCCTTCATCATCATTTTATTCCTCATCCTTTCCTCTTATTGTTGCCTCTAGCAGAACACACAAGACATCAAAGTCAGAAGATTTATATGAAATTCACACAGACAGAATTGCTTAGTCCAAAACAAGGCAAAAATTCTTAAATTGAGGTCACTGAGAAGTTATATTTCCTATTTTTTGTGCAGGTTCCAGGCAGAGCTTTTGTCTTCATCTCCCTTGTTCCTGCTGGAATAATCCCTTTAGCAGAAGCTCCCTATCTTGCCACCCTTCAGCATTTCATAATTCCATATTTTGCTTTATTCTTTATAGCATTCACCACCACTTACCTAGGCAAAGTGCCCACTACCAACTCCTGAATAGCCAGGACACTCAATGACAGAGTTGTGAGCTTGGGTCACATGGTAGAGCACCTGCCTACAGTCAGTGCCCAGCACTTAATAAAAAAGACCTGTTCACTGGAAATAGTTATGTTGCCCAAATCACTAAATCCTAACCTAGGTGTAAAGATGTGTAGTAGTCCCTTGCTTTTTCATGGGACATAGGTTTCAAGACTCTTCATGGATATTAGAAAACATGGATGGTATCAAAACCTGTGCAGATTATTTTTTCTACTTGTGCATACCTCAGTTAAAGTTCAATTTGTTAAATAGGGTCACAAAGACAATGATACTTAATAATAAAATGAGCAACTAAGTAGAGTACAGTAAAATTGCACTTCTTTTGTGCCTGGAGCCATTGTTAATTAAAATAAGGTTTACATGAACACCAGCATTGTAACAGTTAACCTGGTAATAGAGATGGCTGCTAAGTGACTACAGAGCTATCCAAGAAGGTGGCATACCCAAAGAGGATATTGCTGAGCAAAGGGATGGTTCATACTGCCCTGCGTGATGAAATGGGACAGCATGAGATTTTTATCATGCTACTCAGAATGATATACAACTTAAAACTTTGCTCATTTGTAGACCTTTCCAGTCCTTATTTTCAGATCATGGGTAATTGATGCTGTGGAAAGTGAAACTGTCGATAGTTAAATGGGGAAGGGTGTCACAATTGTATCATCCCAGTGCTGTATACCTTGATTTCACACAGATTAGCTAGGGACAGACTAGGAGAATGATCGTTGGACATGAATAGTGAAAAAAAATGTGATTTGATGATAGTCTAAAAGGAAGAAAAAAGATCTGGTATCCAGGGTGTTATTTTTAGAGTCATTTTACAGGATATAATGGGTCTGCTACAGCTAAGAATCCATGACTAGACTGGAGGTTTTGACCCCAGTGTCTTGGTGTCTTTCCAGTTTGGATCATTATATCCTGCTTACCTAAATCCTTCCTGTCATTCCAGTTTGAAAATTTAGCTTCCATTTCCTCTCCTGAAAACCCCCTCTATTAAAAGAATTGCTAACGAAGTGCTGACACTTTTACCCCAAACCCAATGCGCCTTTGGGTAATATAGGTGCATACTGTATGTCCTGTAGCTTAAAACAACTTGAGGATATAAGTGGCAAAATTATTTCCTCATCTATTTCCTAATCTATAATAAAGCTCCTCTCCTCCTACTCCACTCATTCTCTTCTCTTTGCTGAATACTTTTTAATCAATACTTTTTAACCAGAAACTAAGCAAATATAACAACTTATTTAGTTAGAAAATAACTAAATTCTGATTTCTCTTCTCTTTCTCCTCTCCTCCCTCTCTCGCTCTCTCTCTCTCTCTCCAAAAGCAACTGGCTTGGGCAAATTTCCATCTGTAGTAACTTAAAAGGGAGTTCAGATGTCTTTCATCAAGTTACAGCTGGCGCTGCACAGCAAACCCAAATCAGAATCACTGTACTATACCCGAGATTGAAAGGCAGTCCTTATTTAAAATTTCCACAAATAAATCTGTTATTTCATCCCAAGTTGAATTTCCCTTTGATTACAAAAAATAAACTGTTATTATGAGGTTCAAAAATGCAAAGATTGAGATTGAGTTTAGATGATTTCCAGACTGCTTGTTAGACTTTATGTAGGTTGTAAATATTTGGCGAACTTCGCAAATTAGGCTTTGTGACTAAGTCACCAAATAAGTACATGAATAACTACTATAGAAATTAGATTAGATTATAAAAATAGCACATGTT